TCTCATGCTCCATCCCACGTTCTAGCCCTCTTCCTGCCTGAAACCCATAAAACCTCTAGACATCTCGATAAAGTATTCCATTTGCATCTCTACCTTGTCTCCGGACCCGTCCGTGCTGTGTCACGGCCCCATCCCCCATTGGACTGTGGCAGGAGAGTATGAAAAATTATGGTTTTTCTCTTCACTAAAGAACTGATGCTCAATTTTTGGCATTATTAATTGGCATACATGAAGATTATGTTAATTAAATTTTCTGCTGCTTTTTGCCACACAGTTTCGGACACATTCTTACATAGTTAACCACTGGTACTATAAAATGTAATCTTTAAATGAAAGTCTAAGTGGTACATTACATGTATGACATGGGAAACTGCATAACTCTGTGGGAAAACTGTGGTGCCTATCCTGGACATTTTGTTCACATAGGTGCCTCAGCCAGTTATGGAATAATTCTAATAATTTAGAATATCATATTACATTAAGTTCAGTATAACCAGTTTTGGAAACTACAGGATTCATGCTCTCAGAATACCATAATTCTGTATAAAATTCATGGAAAAGAAAAAAAACAAACAACTGAGTTCTAGGCCAGAAACATAAATGCATTCTTATTATCAACTTTCATTTATGTCTAGAGTTGGGTTTTAATGTTTTCTATCCAGAAAAATAATTACTTAATCTCTACCCTCTTTGGTTATTTCTGTATGATTCATTTTTTCCACTTACCTCTATAGGGCACGGATAAGACATTTAGTACTTTCAAGAGTAGCACTCATGTTAGGGACAGATGTTGATATTTAGAACTCCTTTACCAAATCCTATTTGACTGTGAAGTGCAGGACATAAGGGTCCTGGATCCCTGAGGTAGGCATGTTCAGGGAAATCCTCTTGAGAATATGACCATCTGGCATACATTTTGATGACATTTCAGCAGCCCGGCAGGGCTTCTGAAAAAGATTTTAGATGTTTCAGTAGGAAGAGACAAAATAAATATCTGTGTTACCAGGATACTGACTTTTCCCTGCTCACATAAACAACAAATAGGTCCAGATCTTGTTCTCTTTCGAGCCAAATTAGAGTTGACATCACTAGAAAGAATCAATCCTGCAACAGAACAGGAATTGTTCCTGCTATAGCTGCCAGAATGTGACAAATATATAAAGAACAAGTATCCTGAAGGAATAAGGCATCTTTAGAAGAAAATGCTAAGAAAAAACAGTCCCCTGAATGTTAGGAGTTAGATTCAAAAGCCAATTTAGAAGAAAAATAGAGATAGGATCTAAATATTTCATAGTTTGCCTGAATTGATTGTACTGGTGATGAGGGACAGGAATGTGTTTCTTCTGTAATATTTATTGATGGAGCCCCACTAATATGACTCAGTGGAGCTCATGCAAGTTGACTTACACAAGTTTATAGCCCTATGTTTATCTTTTTCCTTCCTCCCCTAAGAGTCTGACTATATTCAGGATATTTAGTCCACTCACTTCTACTTCAGCAGGTAGAGTGATTTTGAATCTCCACACTATTAGGCCTGAAAAAAAAGTAAAGTATCATTCCAATATCTTCTGTTGCACTATAACAGTCTCTTAAGTGATCTGTCCTAGCTTTCTCAGTAAATTTTAAATCTGTACACTGACACCTTTTAGCTAGTAGGCCCTAGTTTGCTCATTCCGATGCAAACTTTTCTTTTTCAGACAGTTTGAGTTTAAAGGTCTGAAGTCCCTCAAATTTTCATTTCTTTTTGAAAAAATATTTTTTCTAGTTTTATATAGGTTTGAAGAAAGCAAACTGTAAAGTTTTCCTCTGGGACAGGAGCCATTGTTCAAATTGCACTAACTGACAGAGTCTTTGTTCTTGGAAATCACCATTAACCTTAGGACCCGACCGACCCTTCCCTTTTCTTCACTTCTTCAAATCGTCTCATCTAATTCTAGGCCCAGATGTGATTTAAAGGCTCTCCTTGTCACCCCTCAGGAACCACACAGCCCTTACACCTGCCTCTAGTTTCTGCTGAATGATTTCTTTCAGAGACACTCCTTCATTAAAGTGGCTGTGCCTTGGAGCAGTGATGGCTGGGGCAAACTCTCATGGCTCTTTGGATTAGAGTACCTTGCTGAAAAGGGTTAATGATTTATCTTGATCACAGGCACCCAACCTGGTTCATACTTTCCAGAATCAATAATACTTTTGACTGGCTTGGCAACTTGCTGATATTTGTGCTAAACTCAGACTAAGGGGTGACAAGGAGATAAAAAGGAGCCAGGCAGAAGTCAGTCTTCTTCCTTTTCAAACCTCTGGCTCTGAGTTAAGCTGCCTGTAAGATAAAAAAGTTAATGGATAACTTATGGTAACAGGCAGGTGCTGAGGGTATTAAAAGTCTTTGTCTCTTGTTTTTGAATATCTCATATGCCATGGTGGTTTCAACACAGCACTCTAAATCCAGAATATAGTGACTCACAATACACAGAGTTATGAAAAGAGGAGTTATGGAAGAAGTCTTATCATCTCTTGTTGGAGGGCCATAGAGACTTAAGAGGTCTGACATCTCACAGGATGACACAAAGGTCAGCACATTGACTTTTTGTTGTTGTTGTTTTAAATATTTACCTAATAAAGGACTCTATTGATCTCTGTGTTTCAGGGAATACTCTGTACCAATAGCCTGGAAAGAGACAGACAGAATGAGAGAGAGAGAAAGAGAGAGAAATGGAAAATATAACTGTTTTCAGCAATGACCACAATTCCAGAGTAGCACTCATATTCCACTCTTTGCCCAAGTAGAAGCATCACATAAATTTTAATTGAAATAGCACAAAAATCCAGCATGCTTCAGATCATTACACAATTATTCAAGATACATTTTACTTTTCACCAATTCTGTACCCCAGTCACTATTTATTGTAAAGAAGCAGTGAGCCTTATCTGGACTGCTATGCACCAAAATGATGGACAGGTTCCACATATTCTATCAAAACAGGGAAGTCCTGTCAAAGGATGAGTAATTTTGAGCAACCCAGAAACAGTCCTTTATGGAATTTTATCAGAAAGACTATGGGCTCTTGCAGAGTCTGGATCTAAATTTTGGTTGTTGATACCTATACACGTAACTAATTTGGGTGAAGCAAAGGTTACCCATTTCCTAATAAATCTACTATAAACCTTAACTTCTTCTTTGCACTGAGAGAGACTTACAACTGAGGATGTATTTATGGAGGTATTCAGGGATTTTAGAATGCAGATGGACACTTAGGGAAGCCAGTCCTGTATTCAAAAGCTCATAGATACCAAACTTCCATTGCAATTACATTTCTCAAAGTCACTTCTTTTCTCCAACTGAACTTTTATTGAGCTTCATTTAAAATATGTACTTTTTTGCTGTTGTTGCAGTAAAAATCACTATACTGCAAACAATACTTTTCTGATAACCATTCCAGAAGATAGAAAATAATATATGCAACATTGCCTATCCAGCTGAGCTTGTAAGATTCTTATTTGGGAAAGAGCAAACTATCCTTATTTTCTCCAAAAAATGGTCTCTTGTCATTTTTGGACTCTTATAGAAAATGGCTTTACCCATTTATGACTCCTACCTGAAAGTGAGGTAGGAAGAGAGCATAATTTTCTATTTATGAATACTCCTGTAAATGATACCACTATAATACCCACAGAATTTGATACAGTCATTCAAGGTTTTCCTGCCACTGTTTTACTTCTTCGATGGTTATTTATGCAGGTAACTTCCATTGTATATAAAAAATGGAATCTATTATAATTCTAAGTTGTTTAGGAGGTAAACAGAAAAGTGACAGCTGGAAAAGATAACACATAATATTTTGATTTTTATTAGAGATTAAATTTATTTGAAAATATAGATTCCCCTCAAGAAATGATAGTTATTTTCTTGCTTGTGTTTTTATGTAAATCTGAAATAATCAATCATCTTTAAGCAGCTTGCATTTAGGGACATTTGTTGTCATGTTGCTTTTACATTAAATCTTCATATATTGTTTTACAAATATGACTTTCAGGATATAAGATTCATTGTAATAATATGACTATTTTTCAAAGGCATTTGAGATTCTAATATGAAGGTAGTATGTCAGGATTGACTAGGAATCTGCCCAAATTTGAAGGAATAATTTTTCACTGTGTAAACTTAAAGAATATTTTCCTAAATAGTCCCTTTTTCACAGGCTTGACGAGCACCATTTTGCATCTTTTACCACCAATATTGAATAGAATTTTGCTAATAATATGTGATTGATCTTACTTTTACTTGATGCTTTAATTCTGCCAGAAGGAGGGACATTAGGGGAGAAGAGATATTATCCAAGTGTATTTCCTTCATGTTGCAGCTGGCAGCGTGGAAAGAAGAAAGCCTTATTCCTACTGACATACTACAGTCACTGTTCAAGAAAGGAGAAATGTTCTTCCCTTCAGTTAACACTGTCCTTAATAAATTAATCTGCAAAGCTAAAGACATAGTTTTGGCAGACTGGTGGTCCATCCCTATTCTCTGAAATCACAGACAAGACATTTTTAGAATTCTGAGGTCCTGGGTACTTCAGTCAAGAGGTGAGTGAAAAAAACACCAAAACACCAAAACATAAAAACATTGATAAGGAACCTGTATATCTCAGAGCTGAATATTTCTTTCAGATGAAAGGTAGTATGGACATAAGACCTTTTTTTTAACTATAATAACATATTTAATTAGGCAAGTAGTCTTGACAAAGATTATTACAAATTCACCCACTAATTTATCTGATGAAAATGTTCTTAATGTCTTTATTTAGTTTCATTACATAGCCAGCTTATTTCCTGGCCAAGCAAACTAACATGCTTGCACAATGAGCTATTTTTTTGAAACCTTTCCCAAAGGAGTTCAAAATCAGCCCAAGTATATCTTGCTTGTATCCAGAAATTGAAGAACTCTACCTAAGAATTCATTTATTCATGAAAATCTGCTCTTTTCTAATTACAAACAGGTACCAGACTTCACAAATTTGGTCATTATTCAGAATTTAATTTTTGGGATTTTGGACCACTCCAATCCTCCACCATTTGTTGCAACATTAAAATCTGCTTTGGCAACAATGGAACAGGGCCAAGTCTAAAGTACAATAGATGTGTACTTCAGATTGCTCACTGAAGTGTTGGGAGTTGGTTATCCTTCACACCTTCCTAAGTCAGATGATTGTTCCTGTGGATTAAATGAAAGGGGATAAGTATTACATAGGAAGGATATACAGAATGGTGCAAACCAACTTTTTTTTTTCATTTCTTATCCAGACAATGAGGACCTGTTTTGAGGACTAGCTGTGTTGCGACCTGCCTCTGAGGTGGGGTAACAGGTTCTCCTTAATAAATTCCTTGGGGTGAATTAGTGTGAAACAACACTGTGGGTTGTGGGTCTTGGTATCGCTCTTACCCTCCTAACATCAGTCCATAGTTTTGTAGTTGTTTGGTGGTATTGGGAGTTCCCAGTTGCTGTCCAGAGGTTGTTATGTCCTGCGCTACTTCCAGGCAAATCAATTCACATGCATTCTGGTTGCAGGATCTGGGACCAGACCATATTTGCTTTTGTAATTGTTTGGTGTGGATTTTCAATGCATCGAGTAAACTCCAGATTAAAAACAGAAACTGAAGATAATCGGCTTCAATTTCCTTAGGAGAGTTATTTTGAGTTTCCCATAACTCTGTATGCATTCACTGGAAACATGCCACCTTATGCACACTTTTCAATATATGACCAGTTGTGGGGGTTCTAAGCATATGGCGTTCTCCCCTCTCCATAGGATCCTAGCCTCCTGCCCAGTATGCTGCCTTCTGGGTCAGGGATCACGGATCTCAATTATCACACATGGTCAGGAAAACTCCTGCTCCCCAATATCCCAGATAAAACAAGATTAGATACCTTTTTGGATCAACCTGAGTGGTCATATTTCTTTTAAATTAGTCATTAGCTCTCAGAATGACAGTGTCTGTCTACCCACCCTCCTTTGAAAACAGGTAAATTTTTCTCTGGAGGAAGACCTCGTACATATGTAGGTGCTCTGCACCACCAAAGGATCCTGTCCAGGATGTGACCCATCTCTGGGGTTCTTTACCACCTAGGTTCTTTACTAAAGCATCCCTTGGAGTGGATTCATATCTTCATATATGTGGTCCTGTAGGCATCAGCACATAGATGAAAAAAAACCAAAACAAAACAGAGCAAAACAAAATAACAAAAAAAACCCACCCAAAACACAAAGCATCTTAGGTATACATAAAACCAATCACTTTCTGGGCTAAAGGTTATTGAATGCAATTTGCAAATAAGATACAAGGAAGAGAAAGTAAGAAATTCAAATTTGTCCTATGTTTATATTTCTGATGCAGATGCATATAGGGGCACACCTGGTGTATTTGCCAATTCTCTAAGCTGGGAGACAATGGGCTTTCTGAAGACAACAAAGTTGAGATGAGGATTGCCTGACCTCACAGCAACCTTCACTGCAAAGCATTGACTGATTATTGCAGAAGCTGCCCAGGTGGGAGCATTCTCAGAGGAACCCCGGCCTCAACGTTGAGCCCCAAAGCTATTTATTTGTGTGACTACATTGAATAACACCCTAAGTGGAAAGTCTAGAAAGTTCAACAACTATCCCAAGGAAATCCTGCTGCAAAACTAGCCAGTGTGTTTAAAGAAAATGCTCAGTGAATATGGCAATGGTACATAGACAGCCCTTGGTACATCTGATACTTAGGAGAGATCTTGCACCTAATTTAAGGCAATTAACATTATACAAAGACCCAAAAGAATTAGCTGTTTCTTTTTGCTTGTTTTGTTTCGTTCTTTGTTTTATTGTTTTTTTACCTTTTTTAATTTTTATTTTGCCAGTCTATGAGTGTATATGTAACAATTTGTAATCAACATAAGAGTTTCTGGCCTACAGTGAAGAACATAGCCAAGAAGACAAAATTAAAAATAAGAGTTTCTGGTTGAGTAGTTTTGTCTATTATTTATTTTACCCAGGTAGACACAGAAAGAAAAAATCTGAAGATTTAATGAACGAATCTAAGGAATCACCAAGCAATCACTATGTATGAAGTGTGAAAGACTGAAATTATTTCTTACTATCTCTAGTACAAATAGAAAAAAAAAGAAAAAGAAGTGAAATGAAATTAATTGACAGTAGAGTCTGGAGAGCAGCGTTTTAGAATACCTCCAGGTTATCACTTCACTTCACTGGGGAAATGGGGAGTTCCCAAATTCCTTCTGATTCTAGTAGCTTAAGATTCAGAGAAGTGCCATGTATTATCAAGTTCAAATACTATTTATAATTCATTATAAATTTGATATTGGTATAGCCAAACCTGAAATGTTTCTCTCACATTTTACAAATCCTTTAAGTTTAGCCTTCTTTTTAGAAGGAAATACATCTCAGAAGGTAGCATACTATTTGCATAGTATTTCAGAATAAAAAGTGTCTCAGAAACTGTTCTAGAGAGCCACTGAACTGATTGCAGTAAAAGAACAGCAGTAGTTACACTGAAAGCTGGAACATTTATTCAGAATGCAATCAAACTAGCAAACAAAAAGCATACAAACTTCAAAATGAAGTAAACTTGAGTGAGTTCAGGACACAAATCTCTTCTTTGCTTCACTTAACATGCAGTTGAAAACCAACGCTACAACCTCAATAAAGTGAATGTAATTGGACGTGATTTCTTATTTCTGGCTGAAATAAATGGAATACATGTATGCTTATGCCCTTTCACATCTCACCCAGCTTCTTCTCAATAACACAAATGTCCATTGAGGTAACCATTTTAATGGTTAGCCAGTGATACTTTATTACACTGATACTTAACAGTGATGTTTTAGCTTCCAGCTAATTAGAACAGCTTAAAATTTAGTGGATAACAGCAAGAAAAATATATATTAAAAAAAATATCCCAGAGCAAACATTATCTCATCCATTCTAAACAGATAATGGACAATCTTTTTCTTTTTTTTCCTTTTTTTTCTTTTTTTTTTGACCCAGGCTCCACACATGTACAGAACACTTCAGAGGGGTTTTACTCTGTGTTAACAGTGCCATCTAACAAGTCACATTTCCTCTGCTGAGAATGCTCATTCTCTTTCCATGCAGAACTGAAGGCAGCATCTCCCACATGGGCTAGTAAAAATGTTTGCAGAATTATGATGTGTGTTTTGTACACATCAGCTTACAGAACAGGAAAGATGCATTCCTGACATCAGCTTGTATTTTTCTGCCATCCACCTGAAGTTTCAACAAATTTCTGCTCTCCCTCCATATCTTCTCCATCTCTCCCCTTGGTGATGACTCTATAGATACATGTGTATTTAGTCCCTGCAATTGTGCATTACTGCCACTTCTTGATAAAGCTAATTGGCATTACTCCTGTGACCTTTAGTAATGACAGATAATGACAACGGAAAAGATTTTGGAAAGTAGTTAGGCACCGAAGGAATTAGTTATTTTTCTCTTTCCCCAGTCATTAAGATCAGTGAAGAACAACAAATCTGGCAGCAGAAAACTGTGCAAATGGCAGACAACAGTGCTTGAGTTACTATAAGGGAAGGCTCTTTGCCCATAATTTATTTCCCCATACCAAATGAAACACAAAGGGAGCAGCACATGGAAAGGAACCATTGAGGTATTACTCTAAATAATGTCACCTGAGTGAAAATCTGTCCCTAGGATCTCTGATGCCATGGCTAGAAACTGAAAGTACAATAGTATTATGTCATTTCAGTTACTTGGAAGGGAAATAATAGTCAGCAGGACACTTTTTTTTTTGGTATCTCAATGAGTCTGCTTCTAGTGAGTGGAGTTAGAAAAAACATATTCTGGGGTTCTTTTTCCTTCTCATGAGAAAATAGGTAAAATTTTTAAGGGAAAGTACAGTATTTAGAGAAGACTGAGATGTTGTGCAAGTTTCGAGCTGGCTTCCCGCCAAGTCCCCGAAACTCGACAACAAGGACCCGCCTCCCAGAGAGGGAAAAGAAAAACCAAGCAGCCAAAGCTATAGCAAATATATATATATATATATATATAACATATGAGACAGATACACAAAAGGAGAATACCACACACCAGGAGGAGTGGGGGGGGAAGGGGAAGGGAGAAGGACAAAAAGGGGCAAGGACCGAACGAGCCAACCAGCCGACTGAAGGCAAACTAGCAAAAATCTCACCACTTCCCTTCGAACAGGCAGGATGGCTAGACACGGCCCAAGGCTCTCCCCTCACGCGTGGCAGATAACGGTAGTCACTGTAGGCCTCGGCTCCAGATAAACCAGACCAAAACAGGGACCCGCCGTTCTCGAACCTCGCCGGAAAGGAAGAGAGCGAGATGCCTCCCGCTGGCTTTATTTATACCTCAAGTTACGTAAAGGAATAGCATGGAATACTTCCATGATCACTTTTCTAGTTCCTTCCTGGTTACAAGTTGGTCTCCAGGAAGGCCTAGAGTGAAACCACTACAGATGTAGATGAGAAGCTTTGTGATTTGTTTTCTAAAGCTACATAGTAGTTTTCCAGAAGGAAGGATAATATCTAAGTAAGCAACAGCGAGACAGCGGAATAATGTATTTGTAATAACTGGAAAGATTGCATGTTGTCTGTTTATGGAGATAGCCAAGATTATCTGTTCGGATTTTGAGAAAGTTCTTCCAATATGATACGAGTCATATCTTTAGAACCTCCCAAGCATATTTTGTTCCTCAGAAGTAAAAGTTACAAAAGACAAATATGCCTTTAATTGTGTTGAAAAGTGGAATTATGTTCAATTTGTAGGTCTTCTAGTTTTTAAAATGCATTATTTACATAGTTGAGAAAAAATTAATAATTGTTGAGACTATCGGGATTCAGTTCTAAGTAGCTTATGGAATCTGAAATATAATTGTAAATTTTATATAATTTATAGTCTGAAAATTAGTTACTAAATGATCAGAAGGAGAGTCCAGATTCTAGAAAACAGAGGAATTACATTGTGCATTTCCAAGAAACAAAAAAACCTAATTATTTAACATTTTGGAAAAGAATGATGAAACCAATTTCAGAAATTAAATATTTTCATTATCAAAGTGATGCATTACAACGGGTTGCATGAACGGAATAAGTTATGTGTGTATTTATAAAACTCAGTTGGAATATGGATGATGAAGTCAACACACAAAAAGATTCAACTTTCCAATAAAAGAATATTGTGGCTTTATTAATATAATAAATAAACCACATGACCTGGTTGGTTGGGGTTCCAGCAACCAAATACCTTTTTTGGAAGTGAACATCACCTTTTAGATGCACTTTTAGATTCGCTTAGCCAACCACCATGGGACTTGCCACTGCCCACGTGTATTAGAGTATATTTTGGGGACTACCTCTCCCAGGATGCATCATCCAACATCCCTAAAACACGTTCCCCACAGAATATTGTCAAAACTCTTAAAATCAAGTTTTTCAAGTAAAAATATTTTTTATACTAGTTTACGTGCTATTCACACCTTATTAGGGCAGAATGTGGTACATCAATGATTTTGAAGGTAAGTGCACCACTTTCTTCCTCATAATACATAATGTTATTTCAATACTACAGAATACTGAAGATCTGAAAAATTAGATGAGGAATACAGTAAAACCTTGTATGTTTTAGGAGTGATTTAGATTCTTTAACTTCCTGCTGTTCCTTGGCCCACAGATCTATAGCCAGAAAAAGTTCAGCATCTGTGAGAGGTTTAATGTGCAGTTTGTAGATATCTACTTCATTTGACTACCCTGCAATAACATCTTAATTCTTCTGTACAGTACAGATTCATAAAATACAGATAGGGCTGTTGAAACAGGTATTGGTCAGTTCCCCCACTTTTAACTCCTGTCTCCCTCCAAGACCTGGAAGACTGTGGCTTGTACCTTCTCCAGTCTTATCTCAAGAGGCAATGTCTGTGACCAAACTTACACAGGAGACAGCAACTTTCCTCCATCCACTTGTGCTGTGCTTCACATTCCCAGAAAGCAAATTTCTTGAATTTGTAAACTAAATAAGCTGGATTCTCAGCACAGGTTGCCTGTGGTTAAGCAAAATAGCTGCTGGGCAATTTATTTTACATGTGTAAAAAAGAGTTTTGAGAATGTAAGGATTTGATTCAAATTAAT